TCTACTAACGCGCTGTTACCGGCCTCAATTCGATGTCTTGGAACAACATCGTCCCCATGGACGGACGGCGCGTCCAGCACTTTGCAGAAATGAACAGGCAAAGATCGGATTGCACAAGGATTGTCGCAATCTGAAGCACGAAGACATGTGATACATTCGGCGCGCACGATTTCGATGAGGGTGTTGGTGTTGCATGGCTCGAAATAGACGACGGATACACTACCCACAACTCCTGGCAAGTGTTGGATCTTGAACAAGGCATGCTACGATTATACCCATTGAAGCGTCGTCTAGTAGCTCTTCGCGGCGTATCGTACTTGGGTATGCATCTGGAAGTCCACTCTGATGTCACCCAATCCTTTGAAGGTGGCGACCCTTATCGTATTTGCTAGCCTATAAAGGTGGGAGTAGCGCTGCGAGGCTAACTATGTTAACAGATTTAAAAGCTTAGAGAGAAGAGCGGGAACTTTAGTATCAAGATAGGGAACATCTACAAGTCCTATGTTATCTAGTTACCTAGGTTAGCTAAGGTCAATCTAGTATCTCGAGCGGCGTATTACAAGACGTCGATATAGCTAGGAAGTTGAGCGCCTGTTACGTTCTTGTCAGGTAGTTCTGCCCTCGTCGGTCAATTGAAAGAGGACTCTTCGCTACTCACATCCATGACACAAATTGCGAATAGTGCTCAGCGATCAGTTGACGTCGCAGCTTCGCTTTCAGTCCCAGTCAAGCATATGCTTGCCCATCTTTTAATTGAGAAGCGTGAGAATAAAGAGGCAATCGTGACCCGATTTCCGTGATTACAACGTCGTATACAGGGCATCTTTGCTGGGATTAGCGAGATGGCGCAAGGCGTTCTGCGACTTCTAGTCTAGGTAAGGAAAGCAATGGGCAACTCTGGGTAGAGGGATGCAAGACTCCCTTTCGGACCAGATTTTCGCTGCGACTGCTCATATGAAAGCGTAGGTGCGTAGTGTGAGTTCAACTCCGAAGAACATGCGAACGTATCAAGAGATCCTGATCTGCTCTTGATGCAATTAATGGAACCGGTGCGCGAGGTGTCGATGATGAAGGATGATGTTGCCCAGATGGGCGAAGAGGACTCAGCTCGGGAGTGCGGCGGCAACCAATCAGCAACTGGGAAAGTCCGCAGCCCTAGTGCCCGAGTTACGCGGACGCACCTCAACCACCCCACCGTCGCCATTCCTCATACACCGTGCCTTATCCATCTCAATATGGCAGCAACGTTTTCGGCTACTTCATTCGCGCATATTGCCGTGTCTCTCACAGCGCAGCCTGAAGAGTTGGGCCCGGAGCCGCGATTACGCCAAGAATTACCCGCCATGGGGATAGCTGGGAGCGCCGCCAGCCCAGTCAGTCATTCGCGTCGCATCGCTCGCAACAACCCAATCCCACCATATTTACACCCCAAGGTCATCCGCAACACGTCCAGTGATGATCGAGGTGGTCAGCGCGACACCCGAGGCCCGTGGTCTTTGCGCACCGCCGATCTCTTTGCTGAGTGACCTTGGTCGCCATCATCTTCACCGCAGTCCCAATCAGTGGTCAGTCACTTCTACGACACTCCTTCTCACCTCTCTAGTGTCATCTCTGACAGTCCCAGACACGCGCAATAAGTCTACATGCTCGCCCCAAGATCCGGCTTTCCACCAACAATATCCACGATCGCGACGCTCCTCCTACGCACGCACTCTCATTCCACCTCAAAACGATCTGCCCCACCTGCTCGTCGTGATGCAACCAAGATGCGCTGCAGTCGCTACGCCATATGACGTCTTCAGATGGAACACTTGTCACCTTACCATGTGGTCTGGAAGGGAGGCCCGTCACCCACGTCTGCGACCACTACCGCCACCACACAAAAGCGATCGTCCCTCCAAAAGAAGTGGACCGTACCTGAAACCCATGCGACGGAATTAGCCAGAGTTGTTTGGCATCCCACGCGACAAACACATGGAGAGCATCGGCGGTCGGACCGAGGAGGTGAGCATCTTCGAGATGTTCGCCCAGGACAAATTACATGCGCGCGCCATGGCTGCTGGTGTGGTTGTAGACGAGTGAGCAGGGAGAATTCAGGCATCGAGCGCGGTCAAACAAAAGGAACTACTCCCTGTCTTCCGCGTCGCGATCGCTGCAACGCGCACCGGTCCATCACAAAGCCCGGGCGGCCAGCTCAACCTCCCCGCCCATCCGCCCGCTACAATATCAAACCCCAGAACTCAGGAAGGCGATCACCAAGTGTGCGACTGCTTCAGCCGGTGGTGACTCTTCGACGGTAGAAGGCGGTATCTTGGTTTTCGCAATCTCTGGCGAGGCGGCAGCGCCAGAGAGATTTGGGCTGTGCTTCATGCTGAGCCCCCGGCTGACCCCATTGTAGGTTTCGACACATTTACCGGTGGCCCAGCGACTCAGCGACCAGAACGACTACGCAATGACAAGCCTGCGACTCCTCGCTCCCCAACCATGACTTCATCGACCGGAGAGCAATTGCCTTTTAATCTTGATCGCAACCGATGCTCAGAGTCGCCGTCAGCCACACACAGCACGCGGAGACGATGTGAGGGCATACGGGGCGACTGCGGCTCGGTGTGCCAATTGCCTGCAGCTGCCACTGGTCCAACGCAGTCCAGTCATACGCAATCACAGACGAGGAGGACAAGGTACACACAGCTCCCGGTACTTGGCCTAATGAGTGCTGACGCAGAGCCAGACGGGTAGAGGTAAACTTATTCGACCAATGCCCCCAGAAGCATGGCTCAGTTCGCTTGTTGCGACAAGATCGGTCGCGCCACAAGGACTACAATATTAACATTCAGCAGCACGATAGCACGATACGTATGCGACCGCCTTCCACATGACCCCCATGGTACCGACATACCATCATTCCCGTACGCTCGATCTCGCATACGATTGCGACATTACGCCTCTTTCCTGAGCCTCCCTCGCCCGAGCCACGACGAACACCTCACCTAGCTGGTCGACACTAGACGTACAAGGATGAGGGATATGACTGTAGGGCTGGAATGGACATTCGTACGTGACCCGGATAGCGAGAGACGACAGTCTCGTCACGACGCAAGCATGGCAGGTCAGCCTTTTGAACGCAAGTGGCACTTGTGCGGCACTTGAGGCTGGACTTCGTTCGACCGCACCACCAGGGAGGGGGTTGGAAGAAGTTCTTGCTTCCGCTGCTGCTGTAGGGGGATGACATGTTCTGCGGGGGTAGTGGCGGGTGGTTATGCTGCAGCTATGGTGGACGTAGAGTATGCGCGCGTCTGGCAGACTGGATATACGTCCCATAGCGTAGACTAATTCGGGACCACTGCTGCGTGTCATATTCCTTTCCGACGCCCGCTCTGCGTTCGTCCAATTGCGTCCAAAGCTTTGACCCTGTCATTTGCGAGCGTTTATAGCCACGCTGCCGTGCCACATCAACGTCTTTCTTCCTGCTGGCACCAAGTCTGACTGAAGAGCATGCTATCAGGCCTGCTCTCCATCCTCGCATCTCGTCCTCGAACAATCCACATTAGTCTGGCTATGCCTCAGTCTTTGTGTCCAGGGCGCAAAGTCACACCATCGTCTTTCCGAGCACGTCAAGTCTCGATCGCAGACGTGTTATATAATCCGCGTCAATCCAGCATATCTTCTGGGAACGGCTTAAATGTCAAGAGGAAGGTTGCGTCTTTGAAGATCCCCTGATGCTGCGCGAATGGCGTGGTTTCGAATGAACAGCAGTAACGTGAATGCTTCATCCCGGTTCCATTTGTAACGCTGACCCCGACTTTAAGTCTGCAATATTCCAGTGGCCTCTATCGAGATCGCAATCAGGTGCTTATCTTACTCTTTATTCACTCCATAACATTTGTGAAGATATTGAACGGAGTAGAAAAGGGTGCGTTGTCAAGCTAAAACAAACTTCGGGCGCTACGTATGAAAGATTAAACGGTCGAGTGTAGCTGTAACAATATTCTTCTAAGAAGCTTGCACACATTTTGCCCGGTTAACCCGTTTCGTGGTATTAAAGGATGCTGTTTTCGCCGTTCTAGAATTTGTGGGAAAGCATGAGCGGTAGCAAAATAAGTCCTGCGAAATCTTGTAGATGCAACCAACACGACAGTTAGTACAGCACGTAATCCCGAACGCAAAGAATTGTTCGATCGACATCGACATACATTCTGCCCAGGTAAGATGTCTCCAGGTCGAGTCGTAAAAGGCATCTTCCTCTAGCCGCTATTAGAGAGATCAGCCAGGTGCAAACTAATACCGATATTAGATCATCTTAAAAGCTAGACACATTACTCCCATAAATCATGCTGTGCAACTTACAAAGACTGTGTGCGGGAAGTGTATTCTTCTCGTTCATCATCGCCGCGATTGTGGTTGCATCTACCCGGCGATCAGATTGAGAGCATTGTATTGCGCGAAGCCTTCTGATCGCACCGCGAGGTCAACGCCACATGAGGACGGTAACATCTCGCTCATCAAGTTCGGTCGATTGCACCGGTTGCGCAGTGACGACGTGGACGATCTGAGGGTCGTCAAGACCGCCGCAACACACTGTATTCCAGATCAAGGCTTCGGTGTCGTATGCTGAACCATTTGCATACGATCAGAATCGCGACCGCAGTGGCTGGAGGTGATAGCCCTCTGCAATCTTGCGCCGCACTCTCAAACATCTGTTTCATCTTCGTCCTTCGCTGTGATGCATCGGGTTATAGCATGCGTCTCCAAAGCCCGATACGTGACTAGCGACTTGCGCGAGAGATCAGGTGAGCCAACTCAAAAAGAGTTTGTTAGGTCAATTTTCCAGCCCTATATTGCTGCAAGTAAATTTATGGGTTGGTGAGAATATGAACGAGGAATTGTATTGAGATGTAAGTCAGCCCGGAAAGCAATTGATGGGAGCCAAAAATAACATGAACATGTGTGAGCTGTCAACGTATCAAGAGGAAAGTGTTGTTCATTCATGTTCTTCTAGCTCAACGGCGACGACGTCGCTTTCCAACACCCTTCGCCAGATCCTCACCCACTCTCTTCACCCGAATCTCGGCAGCGCCATCATGACCAACCCACTTCCTCAAGTCCAGCGTGGCTAAACCCCTGTCGACGTTACTGCGCGTCGCTTTGGTGACATCCGCAGCAGCCTGCTTTGCTTTCCACAGCGCAACCTTCTGTGCGGCCGTCTTGCGCTTCTTCGGCTTGCGCTTCTTGGGTGATGGTGATGATGGTGATGATGGTGATGATGGTGATGGTGATGATGGTGATGATGGTGTTGGTGATGATGGCGATGACATTGATAGTGGTGGAGACGAGAGACCTGATGAGGTTTCATCCTCATCATTGGGTGGTAGTGGTGTATCGGAGGATGGGAGGGGAAGCTCTTCATCCTCATCCTCACCCACTTCCTCTTCCTCAGCCTCGTCTTCGTCCTCATCCTCAACCGTGCGCTGGATTGGCGAGAGAAGTGAAGAGTCCATGCCCGTAGGCCAATCAACAAATGCAGACGAGGTCTCATGCGGTGGTGGTGTTGAGGCTCGTCGTGCGCGCTCAACGTCGGCTTCGGTTTCACCCTCAGCCCCAGACATCGGCACGCTGCTGCTTGGATGCGGCGCCGATGACATAGGTAATGGCGGGGTCGGTGGTCTTGATGGTGGCTTGCGCTTGGCAGCAGTGGAGAGGGTTTGTTGGGCGTAGGAGGGGACTGGCGGGCGTGATGGGGTGGAGAGAGCTGCCCATTGTGAACAATTGTGATGAAGGTGAAGTGAGGTGTAGTGCTGAAGAATGCGTACGTCTCGCGGAAATTGCTCATTATATGGTGACGTGTGGGCTCATGCATCACGCCATAATCTGCTTCGTTGGGAACGGAAGTGACGCCCTCCTGCCTCAGACTCCGGACGCTGCGTCCTTGAGGCAGGAGGCAACCACCACATCACTGTCTCTGAAGGTACGGCAAACATCTTCAGATTGCGCATCCACACTAGAACCTAATAAATGAAGCAAAGAGAGAGAGATTCAGCCCGTGGTCATGTAGCAAAAAGTGCAAAACAGAGAAGACCGAACTGAATCTGCAACTCACTGCCTACCGCCACAAGACTACCTACCAACATCTTAACCCCTACTCTGGTTCGGGTGAAAGACCACAAGACGCAAGCCCGCCATCATGTGTTATCGGCCCAGCAAGCTGGAGTAGATCAAATAGCAGTAGACAGGAGCATTACACCATTACGGGGACAACCCTGCTCCCCAACGCAGACCAGAGCGAAGAGGCCATCAATAGACATTCGGAACTCCACAATGGTCGACGACGAGGGTCGAACAGGGTGCGTCGCTCCTAGCGCCGTCAGTCTGACTGGACATGTTTGAACATGTTCGATGGCCGATTCGAGGATTTTTCGGATCATATGCAGCCACTCATGCAAAGGTACCCTGTTTGCACGCAATGCACTGCAAACTCGAGGACTACATGCTCGCTTATGTTTGCACACATCTCTGCCCGCGTAATATTCCCGTAGAGCTGGAAAGAGGTGGGTGGCTCAAAGCTGTGGCCTGATCTGATGCAGCAGGAGCAGGGTGTGGGCGCGACCTCAACGTCCAGCGAGGCAAGAGCAACGCCATCACCAACATCGTAACGTCTGGCCGGGCCACTAAGTTCACCTGTGCATTGCAGGACCATCATGATGGCCACAACGGAGGGTCTGATGCGATGTTGAGTGATTCCTCCAACTACAAACGTATGACATCTCCTTCTACCGTATCGTGCCGTTGTCGCGAGTGCAGCAAGACGAACTTATGGTATGCGAAGAGTCTCGCCTGATCACTTGCGCGCTCGCACAGTCCTTCAACACCGTTCATCCTTACAATGTGATCAAGGCTTCAGGCGCTAGCACCAAGCCGCTTAACGCGTGACATTGCGGCGGGCGGCGTTCAGTGCCTGGCGTCATGCAACATCAAATGAGCTAGCGACAATCGCATCCGTTATCGTTCCGGTTGGTGTTGAGTACGTCCCAGCGGATCACGTCGCTCTCTATGCGCTTTTAGACGGACATACATCCACTGGTGATGCAGCCGCTGGTTATGCGGGAAAAGTCGCACAGGTTCCAGTCTGATATCGTGAAGGATGGCCCAAACGAGTGACAGCCTGCGACCAGGGCTTGATGATCTTGCCAATAACAATCATGCGCGGTGTTCTTGTATCGCCCCTGAAGCTCAATACTGGCGATGCGCTCATTCCACGATGCGTTGTTTTCTCGACGTTTAGGGCCCGGGCCAGCCTCAACCTCCCGTGAGCAAGTAGTCAAGCTGGTGCATTGCAGCACTAAAACAAGAGAGAAAATGTACCTCCGGTGATCGTCGAAAGCGAATGGCGGTATGTGCAGAGCCATCTTCGCTCTGATGGTTACCCCACCAGCTACTTTGCTTAGTGTCGCAACACTCACGGTAGGATCGATTTGACTGCACAGGTCAGCCGGGATTGAGAGCCATGGCAGTTCCGCTGTTGCGCGTTTGCACTACGTCCGGCCACGAACCCACCGTCGCTTACATCCTTTTCCGATCTGGGTTCTAGCTCTCGAAGGCAAGGAAGCGATGCAACTCATCTGGGGAGGACATGCATTGGTGCTTGGTTTCTTAACTTTGCAATGGCCAGGTAATTGGATGAACGTTCCTCGTCGGTGGCTAGATGCAGCGTCTGGCGACATCAAGCTGTGGGCAGCCACGAAGAAAGCCGGCAGCCGATCGAAACGACGTGGAAATGAAGGTATCGTCGGCGCAGCTTTTACATGGAAGTAGCGCAAGCGACAGGCGCTTCGGCAACGCGGCGCCTGCTGGTAGGCAGTCATGGAGAGTACGCGGCGGGCTGCAAAAAGTGATCTTGGACCATGGCGGTGCGAGGGAAGAGCATGCGTTAACAGGGGGAAGCATCCGGAGACTTCAGTGGCTTCAAGTTCGCGTCGCTGCGAGGCAAATCCAAGACATCGCGCCGAGGCTCCCAGCTTCTTGAGCCCGAAGCCCATGATGATCTGATGCCTGACCAAGCGGCCTTCGACTACCACAAACGCATCTCATACGCGCTGCGCAACTACCCGCATATGAGGTTTGCGTAATGGGTCCATTGCACGTGTGGCTTGCTCGCTGGTGAGCAGCGTTTTGCCCGGGTAGATCAGGAACTAAGCGTTGTGGACCATTGGTAGCGCAAGCTCGTGAATCGGGCGCAGTGAAAACCCCAAAAATATCCCCGCGGTATCACCGCCCCAGGCTCATTCTTTCCATCGTCGACAGAAAAGATGCGAATCCATGATATCGCTACTCCAGGGGTCTGAACGCTTTCCAATCCCAGGTTGTGCGCGCGCGGCAACGTGGGCGGCAATGAGGTGCCGATGGATACCTACAAGGCGCTGCCAAGTCCTATCGCCACGGCCCCTTCATGACGCCGTTGGAACGTCCGCGCTTCGTCGACTCGTGGAGTTACGTCGCCTTCTCTGGGATGCAAAGACGCGATGTTGGTTCCGGGGTGCTGAACTTGCGCTGGTGGTGGTTGGTATGGCACATCATTTTGGACTGGAAAGTCGAAGTCCTCCAACATGCAGGGTCATCGCGCGAGTCCTGAAACAGCTAAGTCGCTCGCGTGATCAGGTGTCGCGCTCGTGTTCTCGCGTTTCTCGACCGAGGCACCAAGACGTTCTCCTCACATCCCAGCGCCTTTAGTGACGGAGCAGTACCACTACACCTGTCGGATCAGGTTGGCCATCTCGAGCGCGCTGCTGTATTGACGAGAAATCTCATCTGCGGTCTACAAGGCTGGTGGTCCACTGTCCAGATGGTCGATCGCAAATCCGCCGCTTCATGGGATACCAAGTCAAGCCGAAGTACCAACAATCGGCGCACACCACCTTTCACTGTCATAGTAACAGAGCAAACCTAAAGGTGTCCTCCGAGAACAGATGGATATTGGAAAGTAGTGCGGTCAGATTTTCCGTGATGTGCTATGCCGTCGCACTCTTGCCCGCAATCACCAGGTTCAAACAAAGTATCGTGAGACCTATAGCGATTATATCCGGGCAGGAACATTCTGAATCAATCTTGCCAAGCGTAATTCATCCACCGTTGATCATCAGAAGCGATTCCACGCAGCTGCAGTCTTCAATTGTCGACTCTTAACTCCTGCAACTCCATGCCGCACTTGTTAACCAGCGTGCGGCGGAGAAGGCTAAGACAGTATTTAATTCGGGCCACAAATGCTGCATCTTGCCAGGTTCATCGCTTCAACGAGAATTCCGCCAGTAGTGACTGAATCTTTACCATTCAAGAGACATTAATCTACTATGGGCGTAATAGCAATGGGCAGTGTATAAAGGCGCATGTCAAACCTCACCACATCACGAGACGTCACATCAGAGCGTTCCGCAAACGAGAATGGATGTTTCAATACAAGCTCTAATTCCACCTTCTCCCAACAACATCATGACTACCATACAACAGACTTCTCTCCCGAGCACACTTTCCTGATGTCTCAGGCCCGCGTTCAAACCGTCTCAACGCGAGACCCATACCCCTACTCCAGCGAGTTGACATACTCTACATTACCGTACGAACACCCTGCCACCAGCTCATCCCCTTCAAATTTCGCTTCTTAACGGGCGTCATGTACCTAGGGAGTGGCGGATCGATCCTTTTGCGACAAAAGCCCCGTGAGACATCAGGCGGAGCAGAACCATGGCGTCGTCCACGATCGGCATTGGACGTATATTCCTGGTCGCTTTCGATGGAGCGCAGGGCGAAGGTGCGCTGATACGTTTGTGTAGATGGTTGGTAGTCCAGGTAGATGACGATCTCAGGGGATGATGACGGTAATTTGGCTATAGATTCATCTCGAGACGGAGTCGCGAAATACCGCGTTGGTTCTGGTCCAGCTGGTAGGGCATCGGTGGCAGGTGGAGATGGGCTGGAGCGGATGCTGGCTGGTTGTGGGCTAGATGAGCCAGGTCCGAAGGTACTGGGTACAAGATCGACTTCAATAGGCAATGATATGAGTGGCGGCTTGTGCGGAGATGCTGGTCTTGCTTGCGGCGTGGGGGGTGATGGACTAGAATGAGGCGCCTTTGTGCTTGGTGCAGCCGCGGCCGCTCCTCGTCGGGAAGTCGGTGGTGAAGTCGATCGAACATTTCTTACATTGCTAGATGTCTGAGTACCGGCAGTAGGGCTTGAGGACTGGAGAATGGGGCGATCTGGTTCAGTCTCGTTGGTTGTAGCCTGACTTTCCTTGCCATCCACATGCGTTCCTAAGAAGTCCTCCAGTTGCCCAATGTGGTGCCTGCAACGATTCAGCGGTTCAGCATTTCCCCCGACTTTCGCGCGGCTCGCTGGTAGGCGACAACGGTGGCCTTTTGCCGTGGTAGCGCGACAGGATGGCATGTCAAGTATCGCGATGCTGTGAAATAGGCGTTGATATATAGTCTAAGTATGGAACTGACGTGTCTTCATGTCATATCGCATGCGTTGGCCCTTCCAGAGACATGCGCCCGCTTCATACGATGGTTGTTGGGTATGGAGGCGGATCGACTCGATAGATACGGATCTCTTTGTTCGA